ATAATAAATGCTGGAAATGTAAAGAAAATGAAGGTACTTTCTTTCACCTTTGGTGGACGTGCCCAAAGATCAAGGCCTTCTGGGAAATGATATATAATGAATTAAAAAAGGTATTGAAATATACTTTTCTAAAGAAACCAGAGGCCTTCCTCTTGGGAATGGTGGGTCAATTGGTGCGAAGGGAAGATAGAACTTTTTTTATGTATGCGACAGCAGCAGCAAGAATACTCATTGGGAAATACTGGAAGACACAAGAATTGCCTACCCGAGAAGAATGGCAGATGAAAGTCATGGACTATATGGAATTGGCTGAGATGACCGGCAGAATTCGAGACCAGGGAGAAGGGTCGATGGAAGAAGATTGGAAAAAATTTAAAACATATCTTCAAAAATATTGCAACATAAAAGAATGTTAGAAAGAGGTTGGAAAAAGAATATTAGGTCGTTTTGGCAGATATGATATAATGAATTAAGTAAAAATGAAGTATAGAAATTGATGGGAAAGAGGAGGATTAATTATATTATTGAATGTTAAAATAAGTAAATGAAAAGAAGGTTAGAAGGATCTGCTGGAAATACGATTTAAACTAGAATACAAAGCTGGGAGGTGAGAGGAGGTCATGGAAATAAGTAAAAGGAAAAAAGGTTAGGTAAAGGTTTAATTTGTTTTTTGCTTTATTTTAATGTAATGTATTTTCATATTTTTTGTTAAGTTGTTTTTTTACTATCTGTTTTTTGTTATATGTTTATTTTATTATGGCTTTTCTATTCTTTTTTGTAATTTTAAATTTGGAATAAATATCATTTAAAAAAAAACAGAGAATAGTAGAGCCAGGGATGGAGAACTTTAAAGCGTTAAGATCAGAAAGCGGATAATATGAAAACAATGAGAAGAGGCAGGAATGAAGATTTGGAGATATGCTTGAAAGGTCCAGACTGGGGAGCCTGGAAAAATTAATAATTACAATTTGGACTATAATTGGTCATTTTTTAAAATTTTAGTTTATTATTTTTAATTGGATTATGCTTTGGATATGTTAATTGACTGTTTTTATGGGAAAATCAATAAAAACGATTTTAAAAAACGAAACAAAACAGATTAGCTGGTTTGCAGAAGCCAGCCCAGGGATTCCTTGTTTAGCACAGTTCTGCAGGTTGTACATTCATCCATATCCCAGCTAGTCAAAATCCTACCATTTATTAATTTCTAGGGTTTGGGGAGAAGTCCCCCAATCTATAACAATATCTTCTTTCTCCACAACTGGAGGCAGTGATGCTCCAGTTTTTTACAAAAGAGAGTTCGTTGTATATTATATCCCCAAATTCCCTTATTTTCTTCTTAAAATTAATAAAGCAAAATGGGGGGGGGGGATGATCAAAGCATAAAACAAATGTCTGTGTGGATCACCGAAAGGCAAAGAAACCAAAGCCCCAAGGCGGAGCAGAAATTCAGAGAGACCCCTGAGGGGTTAGGTAGCAGATTCCTAGCAGATGTGGGGGCAGAATAAAGCAGGCAGGTGTGTTTGCTTTTGGTTTCAGGTAGCTTAATCCTCTCCAGACTGAAAGGGAACTTGTTTCTTTCGGCACAATATTATTTCAGAGAGGAGGGACATGATAGGTTGGGGAAAAAACAACAACAACCCACCATTGCCGAGAGAGTAAAAGGCAGAGAATCAAAATTCTACCTTTGTCCGGGCTGTCGACCGGCAAAACTGGAATGCTGAGATAGTGAGGCATTGCTCAAGAAGCAGGATGAAGGTGTTTCTTACTGCATTGCTGGCTACTCTTTGGTGTGCTGAGTTTGGTAAGGCCCCTTTTATTTACGCAGATCCATTTTTTGATGTTTCAGTTGGCTGAGAGTTAAATTGAGGGATGTTTAGCCCTGGAGAAGAGGAGACTGAGAGGTGCTAGGAGAGCCATCTTCAAATATCTGAAGGGCTGTCCCATGGAAGATGGAGAAAGCTTGTTTTCTCTTGTTCTGGAGGGCAGGACCTGAACTAATGGCTTCGAATCGTAGGAAAGGAGACTCAGACTAAACACCAGGAAGAGTTTTCTGAGGGTAAGAGTTGCGGAACGGACTCCCTCACAAGGCAGTGGGCTCTCCTTGGAAGAAGAGTCAGTTTGCATTCCCTTGGAACTTTGTTGTTTATTGGTTTAGAGTCCCATTAAGTTAAATAGGGTTTGCAGACCGATCCTATACAGTGGTACCTCGGGTTAAGAACTTAATTCGTTCTGGAGGTCTGTTCTTAACCTGAAACTGTTCTTAACCTGAAGCACCACTTTAGCTAATGGGGCCTCCTGCTGCTGCCCCTGCGCCACCGCTGCACGATTTCTGTTCTCATCCTGAAGCAAAGTTCTTAACCCGAGGTATTATTTCTAGGTTAGGGGAATGTCAGAAGTGTGTAGATTTTGGTGAATTTTCTTAAAAATAGGTCAAAAACTTCAATGGCTTTTGATTGAGAGTTTGCAAAAAACAAAAAAAGCTCAACAACTTTGGGCAACAACAACAACTTTTGCGTTTGGATATTTACTTTTTGGAATATGGGAACCCTCAGCTAAGAGGAGGAAAGCCTTTCCTGGTTCACCTCTGGCAGCAAAATGTCTTGATCTGGCCCTGCAGATCCCTTAGTGTTTTCATAGAGGCAAGACAATATCTCTCTGCTGCTGCTCTGAACGGAGATTGCATCTACGCTGCTGAGATTGTTTTAGTAGGCAGAGCAGACTATTGGTGATTTTGAACGTGGGACCCTTCTGTATTTGAGGAAGATGCTCTCATTACCACTCAGATACAGCCCTTTCTTTTAATTTTTAATTTTTGCCTCAAATCAGAAACTCTGTGAATCCGGGACTGTCCCTGGAAAATAGGGGCAATAGGAGGGTCTGTAAATGTGAACTGAAATGCAAGTTCCCCCTCCCGCTTAGCACTGAGTTAAGTTGTTTTATGCTGCATTTTGTGTGAGATTTGGGTAGCCTTTTCCTTTGACGTTCTTAGGAGTCTCCGATTCATCCAGTGTGCAAGGAAGCTTACGGAACAATTAAAACCAGCAGAGTAATAAAATCCTGTCCACACAAACCACAAACTAAGCAGCTCTAAGGATCTGATTCAGAGCTTGGCACACAGATTTTCTGCTGGGTGTCAGCTGTTACGTAAATCTACAAGGAACCATTGGGTTGCACAGGTGCCGTGGACAGAGTTGGCCATCTGGAAATCCTCACTAAGGCGGCCAAGAAACACCTGATCTCTCCGCAATTACCTTTAGATGCTACGGAATGCAAAAGAAAGTTTGTTTTTAACAATATCCAAACCATACCCGACCCCAGTGAAGTTAAGTTTCATCTGTCTCCACCTTACGGGGTCTTGGTGTTCAGAACAGGGGAGGGATTGATTTGGTCCAAGTCCAATGCTCCGAAATGTGCTTGTAGACAAGAATGAAACTTGCAGTCTAGTTACGCATTTCTCTGGATTTTGCAGTGCATGTACAGTGCTCAAAAAGCATGCACAAAAAGAGTATCTTACGCAACATGTGTGCATAAAATGTGCATTTCATTAGCAAACCAGAGCTGTCAACTTACAGATTTGAAAATAAGGGGCCAGCAGCCTCGAAAATAAGGGATCAGCAGCCAAAATAAGGGGTTTCCCCAGTACAGGTATGTTCAACTTCTGAGCCCCTCCGACCCAAGGGCAGAAAGCCCAGCCAGCAGCCAAATGGTTCCCACAGCGCAGCAACCCGGCAAAGGGGATGCAGCAAGGAAAACCACCGTCACCTCTCCGCTGGGAAGCGCTGAGCAAAGGCGAGTCCCCAGACAATGCGGCTGATTTGATCGGCGCATCATCAATAAGGGACAGCAGCGGGACACGGCTGTGGGATAAGGGAGTTTCCCGCCAAATAAGGGACAGTTGACAGCTATGTAGCGAATGCTCCCATCAGGCCTGGCCAGCAAGGGATGATGGGAGTTGTAGTCCCACAAATCTGGTAGAGAGCCGCAGGTTCCCCTTTCCTGGCCTGTTGATGATACAGAACTAGATACACCATCACTAACCTGACTGTGTAAGGCAGGTTCGTATGTTCCTATGAAGTTAGGAGTTGAAGTGCTGAAAATGCACATAAATTTGTAAGCTTTGGAGGTTTTTTTCTTTCTTTTTGGTAACACCCCAAAACCCAGCGTTTCTTCTTGTCTTTCATTTTGTCTTTTGGAAAGGGTAACATCCTACGTTGACTGCCATGTCTTCTTTGCCTAATATCCTGAAATGGGCATTCACTTCTGCTCCAATGGGAATTTCCTCCCCTAAGGCTAAACACAGCACAGGTAGAAGTGGAAGTTGGGAGTCTTCCTTGGAAACGTGGCTGGAGAGGGAAGAGCTAAATATCTTCTCCTCATGCTCTGTGGTCCTGTGGTCTAAACCACCAAGCCTCTTGGGCTTGCCGATCAGAAGGTTGGTGGTTCGAATCCCTGTGACGGGGTGAGCTCCCGTTGCTCTGTCCCAGTTCCTGCCAACCTAGCAGTTCCAAAGCATGCCAGTGCAAGTAGATAAATAGGTACCGCTTCGGCAGGAAGGTAAATGATGTTTCCATGCACTCTGGTTTCCGTCACGGCGTCCCATTGCACCAGAAGTGGTTTAGTCCTGTTGGCCACATGACCCGGAAAGCTGTCTGTGGACAAACGCCGGCTCCCTTGGCCTGAAAGCGAGATGAGCGCCGCAACCCCATAGTCGCCTTTGACTGGACTTAACCGTTCAGGGGTCCTTTACCTTGTCTTACCTTGGTTCTCATGCACCCCCTTCCCAAAGGCTTATCTTTAAATAGAAGAAAACCGCACAATTAAAGGGACCTCTAAGCTGGCTCTCAGCTTTTCAAAATTGGAAACAGGTTTGAGCGTTGAGCAAGAAAGTAGACCTGCGGGCAACTCGTGTTAGTAAAGATTTTTCTGTCACCCTTTCCCCTACAGCCCAGGCTTTGCGGTGTTATTCTTGCCCGGAGCCGATAACGGCTGTAAAATGCATGAAGGTGGACAACTGCTTGCAGAATGAGACCATGTGCAAGACTACCATGTACTCGCGTGAAGAAGGTGAGAGACTTGGCTGCGTTCTCCTTCCACTCTCTGAGAGAGCCTGCCTCTGAACACCTGGGCTGGGATCCCCAAACGGGAGAGCGTGGTTGAACTCAAGTCCTGTTTGTGGAGTTCTCATGTTGGCATTTGGCTAAAAACATAAGAAGAGTCTGATGGACCAGGGCAATGGCACACTCAGTCCAGCATCCTTGTTTTCACAGGGGCTGAGCAGTTGCCTGTAAGAAACCTGTAAGCAGGATTCGAACACATAAATAAATATAAATATTTTTTATTTATACCCCGCCCTTCCCGGTTCAGAAAACCGGGCTCAGGGCGGCTAACAACAAATTTAAAACACTTAATTGATGCAACAAAAAACAGTATAAAACATGAATAACAATAAATTCAGAATTAAAAAATCAATTTAGGGTGGGGAATCCACCCAATAAACATTAGATGATCACCAGGGCTAGCTGGCTAAATTAGTCCTATTTGGGCCAGTGAGGAGACCAGGGGAGAATTAGCTGTGGGATCCCAGAGCTGGGTAATCTTCATAAAAAGGGGAGGGGGGGAAGGAAGGGGAATAAAAGATCAGGCTAAATTCAAATTGAGGCGGAATAGCTCTGTCTTACAGGACCGACGGAAGGAGGTTAAATCCTAAAGGGCCCTGGTCTCATGGGACAAAGCATTCCACCAGGTCAGAGCCATCACTGAGAAGGCCCTGGTGGAGGATAATCTGACTTCCTTAGGGCCTGGGACCTCTAAACTAGGATTATTCGTGGACCTTAAGGTCCTCTGCAGGGCAGACCAGGAGAGGCGGTCCTGTAAATACGAGGGCCCTGAGCCATACATGAGTAATCTACCTTCCTGCAGTTCCCAGCAAGGGGTATTCAGAATCATTGCTGCCTCCAGCTGTGAAGGCAGGACATTGGCATCATGGTTAGTAGTCATCAACAACCTTCTCCTCCATGATGCAGTTGGCGCTGTGGTCTAAACCACTGAGCCTCTTGGGCTTGCCGATCGAAAGGTTGGCGGTTCGAATCCCCGTGACGGAGTGAGCTCCCGTTGCTCTGCCCCAGCTTCTGCCAACCTAGAAGTTCAAAAGCACACCAGTGCAAGTAGATAGATAGGTACCGCTGCGGCGGGAAGGTAAACAGTCTTTCCATGCGCTCTGGTTTCCGTCATGGTGTTCCATTGCTCCAGAAGCAGTTTCGTCACCCTGGCCACATGACCCGGAAAGCTGTCTGTGGACAAACGCCGGCTCCCTTGGCCTGAAAGCGAGATGAGCGCCACAACCCCATAGTCGCCTTTGACTGGCCTTAACCGTCCAGGGGTCCTTTACCTTTACCTTAACCTCCATGAATTTGCCGAATCCTTTTTTTAAAGCCATCTAGATTGGTGACCATCACTGCCTACTGTTGGAATGAGTTCCATAGTTTGTGCTGTGTGCAGAAGGACCGTCTGTTATCTGCCCTGAATCTTCCAACATTCAGCTGTGCTGGACTGGGGGGCGGGTGCAGATCTTGGCAAGATCCAGCAGTTTTCTTCTTATATAAATGGTCTAGATGTGAAAAACGCTCCGGGGGCTGTGATGCAACAGTCTCGTACCTCTCGTTGCTGTTAATAATTATGAAACAAAAAACAGGTTCCAGAAGATTCTAGATCCACCATGTCCTTCCCTGTCAATAGACAGGGAATTATCTGTCTGGTGCATTTTATCAATAGCTACTAGCCACAAAGGCCTACCTTGACTATTGGAGCCAGTATTACCAGCTGTGAGGAATGAGGGTGGGGGTCTGCGTTGCTGCTGTGCTCAGGTGGGCTTCTCATAAAAGGTACAAAGGTAAAGGTACCCCTGCCCGTTCGGGCCAGTCTTGCCAGACTCTAGGGTTGTGCGCTCATCTCACTCTAGAGGCCGGGAGCCAGCGCTGTCCGCAGACACTTCCGGGTCACGTGGCCAGCATGACGAAGCCACTTCTGGCGAACCAGCGCAGCACACGGAAACGCCCTTTACCTTCCCGCTATAAAGCGGTCCCTATTTATCTACTTGCACCCGGGGGTGCTTTCGAACTGCTAGGTTGGCAGGTGCTGGGACCGAACGACGGGAGCGCACCCCGCCGCGGGGATTTGAACCGCCGACCATGCGATCGGCAAGTCCTAGGCGCTGAGGTTTTACCCACAGCACCACACCCAGCCTCCAAACCACCTCCTCTCTGGTGCACTATCTGAATAAGTGCTTTCTTATCTCTGCAAGAGTTGGGTTAGCTCTCCAGGTCTTCCCCCAGACAATCCTAGCACTGCAGAGTTGGAAGGGCCCCAATCCCCTGCAATGCATGATTTGGAGATTCTGAACCCCCTTGTTTCCTTACCCCATTGGCAGGGTATCCACAGCCTCGACTTCCCAGTTGTGCAAAAATTCACAACTGCACAGGGGAGGCATAGAGGACAGTGTACCTGCTGCACCATGGTGGATTTCGGAGAGGGGTGGACGACAGGGACTGATCTGTCTTGCCACTTGCATTTGCAGTGTACCCATTCCAGGGCGATTCAACCGTCACGCGGTCTTGTTCTTCGAGGTGCATTCCGTCCGACGTGGATGGGATTGGCTTGACTCGCCCGGTGACCTGCTGCAACACGGATCTCTGCAACCACGATGGGGCAGCCAGCGTGCAGATCAGCTACATCACGGTGGGGACCTCAGCTGCTTCCATCTTCATCCTCCTCCGGCCTGGACTGTGATTCAGATGGCAAAGGCAGAAGATCTTGGGGTGTGTGTATGTGTGTGTGCAAATGACAACAACTCCTTGATCAAGCCCAACTTGGCTTCGCTATCTCAGTCGGGCTGTATACCTCTCTCTCCTCCTGCAATTGCAGACTCCTCTTCTCATCAGGTGAAGAAAACTGGGGGTGAAAATGCTTTGCGCTATGAAAAATGCTGGCTGGCCTGCTCCTCCTGGCCGAAAAGAGAATCAGAGACCTGATGCTTCAGTATTTTGGGGGTGCCAGTCAGCCCTTTGCTCAGCTCATTGTCTCTGATTCTGCCTTTCGTGGCTCATCCTATGTTTAGAAAACAGTTCCAAGCTGTTTCGCCCTTGTCCCACTCCTTTCCCAGGGAAAACCTGCTCTTTAGCTCTAAATCAGAACAAACAGCAATTCACGGAAAACCCAAATTGCTGTTGTTTCCGATTGAGGACTAAAGAGCAGTTTTCCCCAGGGAAAGGCAGCGAGACTTTCACATGACTTGTATTTTTATCCTATTGATTTCTAGTTAATTCCCCCCGGGTCCGAGAGCTTTTCTCATTGTTCCACGACTGTGCCTTGTGAAAACGCTATCTTGCCCGCTGCACTGAAGCTCCTTTAGCAGCAAAACCCTTCTTCAGATTTCCTGTGCATCCGAGGATCGGAGTTTCGCAAGGCCCAGCTGTGGAGCAACGAGAAAATCTCCCGGACCTGGGGAAAGGAATCGCTACAGAATGCAATAAAAATGCAGGTCAAGCGGAAGTGAGGCTGAACAATTAGTCTTAAAGATGTGCCTTTATGGACACCTGATCACGGCTCCCAATAGCCAGGCAGGATTCCGAGAGCAGTCACCAGAACTCATCTTAAAATCCCGTTAAAATCTTCCTTCTCAATGTGAGGCTGTCCGAAATGGATCTGTTGCATGTAGAGACATTGGGGACGGGCTTTGCATGATTCTCTTTTTATGCATGAAGTACCCCTCCAGAAACCCTATCCTCTTTATCGAGCATTTATCCTAACTTGTTGCACGATGCTTATGCTGAAATTACACGATGCCCCTGTTTTTGTCGAACGCCTACCGCGATCTGTTTGCAGGCAGTTTATACAACAATGGGCAATCCATCCTGATTTACTTGTGTAGATAGATTATATGTCTCCTTCGGGAGGTAGGGCAGGATGTAAACTGAATAAATAATAAAAAATTCCCATTGATCAGTAAATTATCCCACACTGTTTCGTGCGTGATTTCATCAGTTTCCTAACTACAAAATCTTTTTTTATATTTAAAAGTGGACTGGATAGAATTGTAGAGAATTTAATAGAATTGTAATAGAGGGACCTCTGAGGGCCATCTAGTCCAACCCCGGCAATCTCTGCTAGAGCATCCAGGACACATGGCCATCCAACCTCTGTTTAGAAACCTCCAAGGAAGGAGAGTCCACAGCCTCCCAAGGGAGACTGTTCCGCTGTCAAACAGCTCTTGCTGTCAGAAAGCTTTTCCGTATGTTTAGTCAGAATCTCCTTTCACTTGAAGCCATGGGTTCGAGTCCTACCCTCCAGAGCAGGAGAAAACCAGCTTGCTCCATCTTCCACGGGACAGCCCTTGAGATATTTGAAGATGGCTGGCGTATAGATGGATTTGTTGCATCAGAGCACAATCATCTACTTTAATTGCAGAGAACTTCATTCCCAGATTGAGATTTGATCCATCGCGCAAAACACTGACAGTCCATAGGCGATCTAAGTTTCATGTTTTGTCATGTCCTTCGCAGTTTTCACTTTTGCCATGCCTCAGTTGTTGCCCTCTGAGCTTTCCCTACTGAGCCTATCCCAGGGGTCAGCAAACTTTTTCAGCAGGGGGCCAGTCCACTGTCCCTCAGACCTTGTCGGGGGCGGACTATATATTTTTTTTGGGGGGGGGGGGAATGAACAAATTACTATGCCCCACAAATAACCCAGAGATGCATTTTAAATAAAAGCACACATTCTACTCATGTAAAAACATGCCGTTCACGGGCTGGATTGAGAAGGCGATTGGGCCGGATCCGGCCCCTGGGCCTTAGTTTGCCTACCCAAACCTCATGAGGTGGCCAAAGTATTGGAGCCTCAGCTTCAGGATCTGTCCTTCCAGTGAGCACTCAGGGCTGATTTCCTTCAGAATGGAGAGGTTGGATCTTCTTGCAGTCCATGGGACTCTCAAGAGTCTCCTCCAGCACCAGAATTCAAAAGCATCCATTCTTCGGCGATCAGCCTTCTTTATGGTCCAGCTCTCACTTCCACACATCACTACTGGGAAAACCAGAGCTTGAACTATATGGACCTTGGTCGGCAAGGTGATGTCTCTGCTTTTTAAGATGCTGATTTGGCTGCTAATCTCCCACAAAAATGCTTAAGGTACTTCCTGGCAGTTGAGAAAGCCGATGTTTGGTTTGAATGAAGTCCAAGACAGCAGGATTACCAAGAAAGCCTGAAATTAGATATCTGTATATAGTTGGTGAGATTTCCTTTGTAATAGATCCGCTGGGAATGTCCGCTGTCTGTAATCCTGGAGAGCCGCTACCAGTCAGTGCAGACAATACTGAGTTAAAAGGAGCAATACTTTGACTTGGTATAAGGGAACTTACTCTATTTAATCCTATGTTGCATCTCCATAAGGTTAACGTGAGCCAGAGCTGCGATAAAGAAGGTATCATGGCAGCGGGTTGGACTGGATGACCCTTTAGGGTCCCTTTTACAATTCTTTAATTCAATAGGTTAGTTGCCTGTAAACTGCTATTCAGCTCTGACAAGATGCCACTGTCTGCTTTGCACCGAAGAACTGATGACCTGGGACAGATCAGTTGGTAGAGCATAAGACTCTTAATCACAGGGTTGTGGGTTCAATTCCTGTGTTGGGCAAAAAATAATAATGATGATAATAATAATAATAATAATAATAATAATAATAATAATAATGGAAGAAGGTACAGGGTTATAAAGACCAGGACTAGCCGCCTGAGAAACAGTTTCTATCCAAATGCAATTTTGGTTTTAAACGCAGTGTTAGGTAGTCTCTATGGGAGTATATTGTATTTAATTATGGGGTATCAGAGTTTTTAGGGGGCTAAACAGGCTGGGATAGCTGGGATAGCAGGCTTGTTGGTTTTTGAATGTCTGATGTAGATTTTTTCAGTTTCGTTGTTCTGTATGGGACAATGACAATAAAGATTATTTTATTATTGTATTGTAATAATAATAATAATAATAATAATAATAATAATAATATATTTATACCCTGCCCTTCTGGCTGGGTTTCCCCAGCCACTCTGGGCGGCTCCCAACAGAATATTAATAATAATTTTTAAAACTTCCCTAAATAGGGCTGCCTTCATATTTCTTCTAATAGCCAGATAGTTCCTTGACATCTGTTGGGGGGGGGCGTTCCACAGGGAGGGAGCCACCACCGAGAAGGCCCTCTGCTTGGTTCCCTGTAACCTTGCTTCTCACAGGGAGGGAACTGCCAGAAGGCCTTCGGAGCTGGACCTCAGTGTCTAAGCAGAAAAGGTCAGCACCCACAATTTGAATTGTCCCTCAGGGTCCCTTCCAACTTTACAATAGAATGATCTTTCCAACTTTATGCAGTGAAATAAAAAAATTAAGGTCTTTTATAGATATATAAAATATATATAAATAAATGTTCATAAATGTACCAAGCAAACACGTACATAAATATATAAACCACATATCTGAAGCAGCACAGGGAAACAGCCCTGAAACCATTTTGTCTCTCCAACTGAACAAATGATTTCTCTGCAAGGTCAAGGAAAATGGAAACGCCTCCCCACTGTCTTTTCCTTCACAAATCCTGTCTTAAGGGTATGTCTGTGTATGAACAGGGTGAGCCTGTGACCTGGCTCAGGAACTAAGAATTTACCCAGGCTCCCCAGGGTATCCAATCAAGTAAGCATTAACAGGTAACCTGCCAGACAGGAGGTAAACAACGCACTCAGATTTCTGTTGTAGACCGCCCTTTCTGTGATGTATGTATGATGTTTCTGGGGGTGGTCTTGGACTCCAGGGCTGGCAATTTAAAATGTCTATATAAGGGCAGGCACACCAGGGTTCTGGGTCCTCCTCCTTCTCCTGCGTGTGAAGGGGGCACCGTGTTACAACAGTTAAATAAATATCTTATTAGCTTACTAGCTGCTTTGCTTCTCAATATTCTCTGGTTGGCCTCTGTTATTTTCTCTGACCGATGAAGAACCTGCAAAGGACTCTATAAGGGCTCTTGTCTCCCCCATGAGGGAATAAGGGCAGATTTCCGTTTATTACAGCAGTTATTCTTGCTGCCTCAAGCATGTCGTTCTCACCCTCTGCTAAGCCTTCTTTTATAACTGTCCTTTTGGTAGTCCCAGCTCTTCCTCCGGTGTCTAATGACAGAAGTATGTGCATTTAAATCCACCGAGCAAACGGAGGATTAAGCATTGTGAAAGAGCATTTGCGCATTTGTGGACCAACCTTCTATTTGCATTGCTTGGTCTGACAGACTGTCCCACCTGCAAGAGCTCAGGTGAGATCAGTGAACATTTGAGGGTGCAGAAAAGCTTCGTTAGGAAGTTCATTTATCGGGACAGAGCAACTTTTGCAGCTGTTGTTAAAAGTCCTTGGTGCAAAACAACGAAGCACAGGACCAGGGCCGGATTGAGGTTGGATGAGGCCCTCAGCTCCTGAAGGTAATGGGGCCCTTTCTATGTCCAGCTGTCCTTTGTCAACAACAAATTGTCGCTGTTTTTGTTCGTTGAATATATGCTATATGGTCATTTATGGACCTCATAGGTCTCTAAAGCCATTTGCACATAATAAAATATGTATTTTATCAAAGTAATTGTTGAAATGAAATACAAATAAGAAGTATATTAATAGTGAAATACAATTAAGAAGAAGTATATTAATAGTGAAATAATTATTAAGCTCTAACCTAAAATGATTGGGGGCCCATGACTTACATCATAGGAGCCTACACAACACAAAACACGGTTGCTTGTATGTAGGTTTTATTTTATCTGGTTTTTATCTTATATTTTGGAGATGTACATCCAGTTTTCCCCCCTTTTAATTTTTTGGGGGGCCTTTAGGCACCAGGCAAAAACGTTCCTTTTTAACCAGGCCTTTGGTTGATGCCCTTGTAAAATGTGGGTTTTTTGGGGGGGGCGTTATTGGGTTGTTGTTTTTGATTCTATATTTTGTGGTTTTATATTTTGATTTTGTTCTGTGAACTGCCTTGAGACCTCCAGGTATAGGGCGGTATATAAATTCAAATAATAATAATAATAATAATAATAATAATAATTTCTGCAGCATCCTGCACTAACTGCAGTTTCCAGATCAAATACAGTGGAAACCCCACTAAGAGCACATAGGAAATGCAGTGTGCATTTCTGGACTCACCCAAACAACCAATTTATTGAGCATTTATCCTGCTGTGCTTGCACAAAACTTACATGGAGGTGGGACTACGCCTTTGCTGAGCATCTGTTTGCTTGCGGTTATAGGCAGATTATACAACATTGAGCATTCATCCTGATTTCCTTGTGCTCTGTTTATACATCTTCCCACATATGATGTTATCTGTTCCTCTCACGCTTCTCAGGGCATTTCAGTCACTTTCCCAGCTTCAGAAATGTCCTTTGAAAAAGCGGATTTGTTGCGCTAAGCTGACACAACCCACTTCAGTGACGCAAAACGAATTTTCCAGTTGTGCGCTTGAATCACTCCCGCAAAAGCTGCAATGTCTTGCACCTTTTGCTCATTCCCAGAAACCCCTGTTGGGAGTTCATGTGAGAAATCAATAATCCTGGCTTTTCACGTTTAGGCTGTGTCTACGCGAGTGGCTTCAAATGCGGCGAGGTCATTTTCTCACGTTGCCTTTGCGCATTCCTGTACACACCAGAGAGGGGGTGCAGAGGTCTCTGGCATTCAAACTGCTGCTGAGAGTTTCTCCCTTAGTGGCTATTGGGCTGCAAAGCACGGAGCTCAGCTCCCCTAAAGAACACAAGTAGCTTAAACAGCGTGTTCTCCAAGTTATCGTTGCAATAAAATTAATGCAGCAACATGGGGCTTTGCAGAGGCAGCCTTAGCCACGCTTTCTCCCCCAAATTCTCCCTGCCCTATTAATTTACAGTGGTACCTCGGGTTACAGACGCTTCAGGTTACAGACTCCGCTAACCCAGAAATAGTACCTCGGGTTAAGAACTTTGCTTCAGGATGAGAACAAAAATCGCGTGGTGGCAGAGGGAGGCCCCATTAGCTAAAGTGGTGCTTCAGGTTAAGAACAGTTTCAGGTTAGGAACGGACCTCCAGAACGAATTAAGTACTTAACCCGAGGTACCACTGTGCTTCATTTAGAGCATGGGTAGGCAAACTAAGGCCCGGGGGCCAGATCCGGCCCAACTGCCTTCTAAATCCGGCCCACGGACAGTCCAGGAATCAGCGTGTTTTTATATGTGTGCCTTTATTTAAAATGCATCTCTGGGTTATTTGTGGGGCATAGGAATTCATTCACCCCCCCCCCATAGTCTGGCTCACATGGTCTGAGGGACAGTGGACCGGCCCCCTACTGAAAAAGTTTTCTGACCCCTGAACTAAGGCATGGGTAGGCGAACTAAGACCCGGGGGCCGGATATGGCCCAATCGCCTTCTAAATCTGGCCCACAGACAGTCTGGGAATCAGGTTGTTTTTGCATGAGTAGAATGTGTGCTTTTATTTAAAATGCAATGACATCCCTCTCTCCACCTGTGTTTCCCCAGTAACAAGGACTCGGAGGTATACGGTCGCCATCTGCGGAGGCAAAGAATAAAAATCACGGCTAGTAGGCACTTGTTATTTATTTTAATTGGTGTACCCCACTTCTCACCACTTGAGTCTCAAAGCAGCCCTTTCCATCTATTGCCACAAATGGTCTATTTCCCTTCTAAAGCCACCCAAGCTATCCTATGGTTGCAAATTCCGGACAGTGGCAAAGCTAGCTTCATCGGCGCCCGTGCACCTGGTGCCGTGCCATGCACCTGGTGTGTGTGGGGGGAGCGTCTGCAACCCCATCGTTCTGCCCAGACACTGAGGTCCAGCACCGAAGGCCTTCTGGCGGTTCCCTCACTGCGAGAAACCAAGTTACAGGGAACCAGGCAGGGTGCCTTCTTGGTGGTGGCACCCGCCCTGTGGAACGCCCTCCCACCAGATGTCAAAGAGAAAAACAACTACCAGACTTTTAGAAGACATCTGAAGGCAGCCTTGTTCAGGGAAGCTTTTAATGTTTGATGCATTACTGTATTTTAATATTTTGTTGGAAGCCGCCCAGAGTGGCTAGGGAAGCCCAGCCAGATGGGCGGGGTATAAATAATAAATTATTATTATTATTGTCACCCCACTGGAGTGGACCGCCCCCTTCCTACGCCCCTGTATCTCCCGCCCTTTGCCGACGTGTTCCAAAGGAAAGCAGAGCAAGACGTCTGGTGCCAGTCTGGCTGCAGGATTTGCTAGAAGTACAGTGATACCTCGGGTTAAGAACTTAATTCATTCCAGAGGTCCGTTCTTAACCTGAAGCACCACTTTAGCTAATGTGACCTCCAGCTGCCGCTGCACCGCCGGAGCACGATTTCTGTTCTCATCCTGAAGCAAAGTTCTGAACCCGAGGTACTATTTCTGGGTTGGTGGAGTCTGTAACCTGAAGCATATGTAACCTGAGGTACCACTGTACAAGGTTGGACTCCACTCCAGATTCGTTCCAATCCTCTTTTAAAGCCACCCACGCCGGGGGACCATCACTGCATCCTGTGGGAAGGAGTTCCATAGTTTAACTCCACAAACCTGATGAGAACCAAAAAGGTGCATTGTGCAAATGGGTGAAACGTGGTCGAATTTG